GGTCCAGTTAAACTGGGTTCAGTTCATCAGGCTTGATTAAACTGGATTCAATTAAACTGGGTTCAATTTAGGCCCAGTTAAACCGAGTTCAGTTCATCAGGTTCAGTTAAACCAGGTTCAATTCATCAGGTTTGATTAAACTGGGTTCAATTAAACTGGGTTTGATTAAATCAGGTTCAATTCGCCAGGTTCAGTTAAACTGGAGTCAGTTAAACTGGGTTCAGTGAAACCAGGTTCAATTAAACTGGGCCCAATTAAACTGGGGTTGATTAAACCAGGTTCAATTCACTGCATTCAGTTAATCTGGGTTCCATTGATCTGGGTTCAATTAATCTGGGTTCAATTAATCCAGGTTCAGTTAAACCAGGTTCAATTAACCTGGTTTCAATCCCTGGGTTGGGGCTGGTGCCACCACGGTGGTTGTGGAACATCAGGGATGGGGATGATGATGATGGGGATGAGGATGGGGACAGGGATGTGGACGAGGATGGGGCTGGTGACCCCATCTCTGGGGTTTGGCTTTGACTTTCCTCCCTCCCAACCCCATTTCCCAGCTCCTGGAACACCAGCATTCCCTATGGATCTCACCAGCATCACCTGCGCCGCGCTCCTGGCACTGCTGGTGGTGGCCCTCGTGGTGTTGGCGCATCGCTTGGGGCTCCTCTACCAGCTCTTCCATAAGGTAGGACAAAACCGGGTGAGAACGTGGTGGTTTGGCCAAACCCCATCTACTGAAGCTGGTGGCACCTCACGTGTCCTCCTGGTGACCATCTCACCATGCAGGTGGACCCCCAAAGCCCTCGGCACGGAGGGGAGCTGGTGGCGGAGGTGCTGAAGGCTCATGGTGTCCGCTTCCTCTTCGCCCTGGCTGGTGGTCACATCTCCCCTGTCCTGGTGGCCAGTGAGAAGATCGGCATCCGTGTGGTGGACACCAGGCATGAGGCCACCGCGGTCTTCGCCGCTGATGCCGTCTCCAGGCTCTCGGGTGAGGATATGGAGGGGTTTGGGGTGACCCCATCCATGGTCAGCACCTTCTCCTGCCCCAATGGATGGAAGGGTTTGGGGTGACCGCATACATGGCAAGCACCATCTCCTGCCCCA